GGGGCGGCGGTGATTCGCCGTAGGCGTCTTCGATCCGCCGCCCCCTTTTGCTTTAGCAAAGGGGTGCCTGGCGTGCCAGATGATATGGGTTTTGGTTTTGGTTCTTTTTCCAAAAGAACTCCCCCTGGGGCTTCGGCCCGTCCCGCCGGGGTCCGGGGAAGGATCTCAAAACCTGGTTGCAAAGGTTTTCCCTGCTCCAGACGGCTCCAAGACGGCCCAGGATGGTCTCCAAGATGCATCCAAGACGGCCAATATGGCTTCCAAGACGGCGAAGATGGCTCCAAGATGCCTCCAAGTCGAACCAAGATGCACTCAACACGGCCTAAGATAGCCTCAACATGGCCCCAGACGGCCCAAGAGGCCTCCAATACGGCCCAGGAGGCCTCCAATACGGTCCTCCAGGAAAGCCCGAAGAGGCCAAAATCATTAATTCTCCATAGGTTTTTGAATGATTTGGGCATGTGGGTCTTTTCGGCTTTCCGACGGCCCGCAAGATCGCCCAAGAGGTCCCCAAAAGGGCCCCATGACGGTCCAAGTGGTCTCCAAGACGGCCCCAAGAGGGCCCCAAGACGGCCCAAGAGGCCTCCAACACGCCCAAGATGGCCTCCAAGACGCCCAAGATGGCCTCCAAGACGGCCCCGAAGAGCCCCAAGAGGGCCCCAAGTCGGCCCAGAAAAGCCCCCAGAAAGGCCCCCCCAGGAGGGCCCGAAGAGGCCAAGATCATTGATTGTCATTAGGTTTTTCAATGATTTTGGCATTTGCCTCTTCTCGGCCTTCCGACGGCTCAAGAGGCCGCCAAGATCGCCCACGAGGCCTCCAAGAGGGCCCCATGACGGCCCAAGAGGCCTCCAAGACGGCCCCAAGAGGGCCCCAAGACGGGCCAAGAGGCCTCCAACACGCCCAAGATGGCCTCCAAGACGGACCCGAAGCGCTCCAAGAGAGCCCCAAGTCGTTTCAGAGAGGCCCCCAAGACGGCCCCCGACGGCGTCAGACGGGCCAGGAACGCCATAAGACGGCCAAAGAGGCCCCCGAGAAGCCGCAAAAGGGTCCCAAGAGGCCCTCAAGAGGCCCCAAGAGAGTCCAAGATAGCCCCAACATGGTCTTCAAGACGGTCCCAAGATGGTCCAATCGAGCCCAAGAGTGCCTCAAGAGGCTTCGAAGAAGCATCATCCCCCTTCTCCTTTTTCCTCCTTCTCCCCCTCCTCCCCTTCCTCCCCCTCGGGGAACACATGGTCCGATAGCTTGGCCAAGCTCTAGCCCAGCTGTCGGACACATAGGCGCTTCCACAAAGGCAGGGGGCGGCGGTGATTCGCCGTAGGCGTCTTCGATCCGCCACCCCCTGTTGATTCATCACAGGGGTGCCTGGCGTGCTGAACCCTTTCGGTTTTGGTTTTGGTTCTTTCCCAAAGAACTCCCCCTGGGTCTCCGGCGCGTCCCGCCGGGGTCCCGGGACAATCTTCACGGAGCTCAATTCCCCAAGGAAATCCTCCAAGACGGTCCAAGATGGCCTTCAAGATGGCCGCGTCGTCCTAAGATGGCCTCCAAGATGGTCCAAGATGGCCTCCAAGTCCGCCAAAGATGGTCCAAGATGGCCTCCAAGATGGCCCACGAGGGTCCAAGATTTTTCCAAGCTCACCCAAGAAGCCTCCAAGACGGCCCAAGACGGCCCAAGAGGTCTCCAAGAGGTCCGCCAGGAGGGCCCGAAGAGGCCAAGATCATTGATTGTCATTAGGTTTTTCAAGGATTTTGGCATTTGCCTCTTCTCGGCCTTCCGACGGCTCAAGAGGCCGCCAAGATCGCCCACGAGGCCTCCAAGAGGGCCCCATGACGGCCCAAGAGGCCTCCAAGACGGCCCCAAGAGGGCCCCAAGACGGGCCAAGAGGCCTCCAAGACGCCCAAGATGGCCTCCTAGACGGCCCCGAAGCAACCCAAGAGAGCCCCAAGCCGGTTCAGAGAGGCCCCCAAGACGGCTCCCGACGGCGTCAGACGGGCCAGGAACCCACCAAGATGGCCGAAGTTGGCTCGAAGCTGGCCCAAGACGGCCCAATAGGCCTCTAAGAGGGCCTCCAGGAAGGCCAGAAGAGGCCAAAACATTGATTTTCCTAGGGTTCTTGACGGATTTTGGCATTTGCTTCTTTTCGGCCTTCCGACGGCCCGAGACGGCCCAAGAGCTCCCAAAGATCGCCCAAAGATCGCCCAAGAGGCCTCCAAGATGGCCCCAGAACGGCCCAAGAGGCCCCCAAGACAGCCCCAAAAGGGCCCCCAAGACGGCCCAGGAGGCCTTTAAGACGCCCAAGATGGCTTTCAAGACGGCCCTGGAGCATTCTAAGAGGGCCCCAAGTCGGCCCAGACAGGCCCCCCAAACGGCTTCCGATGGCGTCAGACGGGCCAGGAGCCCACCAAGATGGCCCTAAGATGGCCCAAGAGGCCTGTAAGAGGGCCTCCAGGAAGGGCTGAAAAGGCCACAATTGCTGATTTCCCAGAGTGTTTGAAGGATTGTGGCATTTGCTTTTTTTCGGCCTTCCGACGGCCCGAGACGGCCCAAGTGCCCCCAAAGGTCGCCCAAGAGGCCCAAGACGGCCCCAAGAGGCCCCCAACACGACCCAAGAGGCCTCCAAGACGCTCAAGATGGCCTCCAAGACGGCCCAAGAGCCCTCCAAGACGTCCTCCAAGAAGGCCCGAAAAGGTCAAAATGGCCTCCAGACGGACAAGATGACCTTCAAGATGCCCACGTGTTCCCCGAAGGCTTTCCAAACCGATTCGGGGAACACATGGTCCGATAGCTTGGCAGGTCTGGCCTCAACGTTCGGCCACATAGGCGCGTCCACAAAGGCAGGGGCCGGCGGTGATTCGCCGTGGGCGTCTTCGATAGGGCCCGACCGAATAGATCGGGTCGGACCCTAGGACAGAAACACATCCATCAATCACATGAGACCCTCCGCCGGCCCAAACTGAAGATTACTCGAGGGTGCGCTCCCCCAGGAGGCACAAACAGATCCAGCAAACGCGAAGGACATCAAGGTACCCTCCCCGAACCCACCTCGTGCCTCATCCGGGAAGCCTAAATCTCTTCGTCCCCCAAACGGCAACAAGGGGTAGCACGGGGGAAGCAGGAACGAAGATAGAGAGCAGAACATCAATCCTCATAAGAAGCACCCCGACAAGCGAAGCCGTTTAGCAAGCACACCCAAGGAAGGAACCGAACAGGACGAGGCTGTTTCGTAAACGCCAATGGTGGGGGCCAGGGCCTGGGTGACCCTTCACTCCCGCAGAGGAAGGGGTCGGCAGAAGCCAGACCACCATGCTTCGGCGGCGCGCCCAGGGGCGAGGCAGGCGGGTGGAGGATCCTCAGAACGTGGCCTGGCGCCAACGTTGGTGAACGGACAGCGCACGCCCATACCCATCGGGGGGGCCGGATGGAGGGTGCGGGTGGTCGGACCCCAGGTGGCAGGAGCCGGGCCAGCATGCTTCGCTGGCGCGCTCAGGGGCGAGGTAGACGGGTCGAGGATTCTCAGAACGTGTGTTAGCGTTAACGTTGGTGAGCGAAGAGCACACGCCCATACCCATAGGGGGTTCGGAAGGAGGAAGACTGGCTATGGGTATGGGTGCGGGTTGTCGGACCCAGGGTGGGGCTCCCGTTCGAGCGGGGAGCACATTCCGACAGCACGCGCCCGTCCCCCCTATGGGTATGTGTGCGTGTTGCTCGTTGAGCAGATGTGTGCTGGCCAAGCGAAGCCCTTCGATACGACGCAAGCGGTGCAACGAGGGCCGACACAGGCTGCCCGAAATCGGCGGAGCCGACTGGGGCAAGCACGCGCTTGGGCGAACACGCGTCCTGAGGAACATCGAATGGGGCGCATCGTCTCAGAAGGCCGCAGAGGGCTTCTCAGGGGGCAGGGAGGGCTCCCGAGCGGCCCCGCCGCACTGTGAGGAGGCTTGCCCCGTCTCGCTCCTCCGCGCGGCGCGCCGCCGAGTGATGGTGCGCGGTGGCCGGGGGGCAGGAGAGGCGGGGCTGCATCGAGTGACTCGCCACGCAGCTGCGCTCCTGCTCGTCTGTGCGTCGGCCCGACTGCACAGCGAGGTGCTTGGCGTCTGCGAGGCGGCGCAAGGAAGAGTAAGCGCGCACCACGAGCAGAGCAGGACGCTGCGCGGCAAAGAGCGCATGCAAACATATGTGGATCAGATGAGCGTTCCTCCTTCTCCTCCTCCTCCTCCTCCTCCTCCTCCTCCTCCTCCTCATCCTTGGTCAGTTTTGCCCTCGGCCCTCGAGGATCGAGGGGGAAGATGTTGGGACGCTGTCTGCAATGTGATTGCAAATCTGCGCCATTCTCGAGCCCCCAAACGCCTTCAGAGACCTCCGGAAACCTTCTGGGTCAAGATCCGGTGCGGCAAGACAACTTTCCGACTCTCCTCCTCCTCATGATCTGCCTCTTCTCCTTCCTCTTATCATTATTTTTATTGTTTGTATTATGCTTCTTCTTCTTCTTCTTCGCCTTGCTCCTTTTCTTCTTCTTGGTCGTATTTGTTCCTACTCCTCCTTATCCTAACCCATCCTCGCGCAACATGCACGGACGCGCCGCTCCATGCTTACGCTGCCCGACGGCGTAGGGAGGAAGACGGAGCCGCCAAGGGGGGGAGAGCGGCAGTGCAGAGGCGCATAGAGGGAAAGGCTCGGGACGTTGACGCTCGGGGACTGGGAAAGTGAGTAGCGTGTCGCGCCGGAGCGTGGCGGGCCAGAACCGGCGGCGCGCAACGCCAAGCCAAAGTTCCCGACCGCAGTTGGAGCGTGGAGAGGGGGAGCCAAGGAGGAACTACAGTAGACACGTGCGATATATTGCCATAAGAAATATGGGGGCACGTGCGTCGTCAAGCGCCGAGCTTCCTGAGGTGCAACAGGGGCTTCTGTGGGCCCCATGGGACATCGGGGGATGCGAGGCTTTTGTGGGGTACCTGCTGGCAGCCTGGCTTCTTGTTTGGCGTGCCCACTGTTGTGAGGGAGCTCAGGTCGTAGCGTGTCGAGCGCATTGTGAGGGAGAGAGGAAAAGACTCATGCGGCGACGGTTGACCAGCGAAGAACCGCCCGCGAATTGGAACTCCGGCACCTTCCGGTACCCGCCCTCCACGTCGTTGAGGAACTCCAGCAGCTTTGGTTTCTCAAATTGGACCAACTTCGAGTACCTCACGGCGGCGCGCGAACACGCCCCTCGTGCGCTCACGGGCGTGCGTCGCCTGATACGGCACGCCAGCGGGCCTGCGTCCAGTCCCCTCCTTGCCCCTCTCGCCCTCTCACATGGTCCTGCTACTGCTCCAGCCCCCTCCGCCACCTGCGCGTCCGTTCCCGCATCCATGTCCTCATCCCGGGCCTCCTACACCCCCCTGGAAGAGTAAGGCAACATGTTGTTCCACTCCTTGGGCCCCTCAACCCTGGACCCCTGATCTCCATGTTGAGTCGACCGCGGCCGACGGCGGACACAAATCGAATCGCGCGGCGCTCCGCGCGAACACACTGGAACTGGGGGGCGCGGGAGCCGGGCCGAGCGCGAGCGGCATTCCTCTGCCAGGGCAGTGCAGGCCCCCCGCCGAGATCCTTGTCTACTTGTTTGTTCTGCGGGCGGCGGCCATCGGTGACTAACGATCGATAGCAACGCCTGGAAGACAGCGGGCCTGTGTGGATGTCCCCTGAGGCCTACTCATACTCAGCCAACTACACTAACCACACACCGAGATCCTCGTCCACCTCTGGCCCAAGTCAGCTCCACACCTCCCCGTCCTCGCGCGTCCAGCTGGCCTGCTGCTCCACCTCTCCGCGCGGACTGGGGCGAGGGCCCGTCATCACCCTCGGCACTCGCATGCCGCCACTCGCCGGCTTGCTGGTGGAGGAGGGAGGTCCTCACGACCTCCTGTCTGCTTCTTGTTCCCTCTCTCCGCGCGCATTGGGGCGAGGGCCCGCCGAGGGGAGGGGGCACGCGTCCAGGCACACGAAGCCGATGAAGGAGAGGGGCCGGGGCCTCGGCGCGGTGGGCGGGGGCCGCCCCGCCCCGCCTTCGGGCTCGAAGGGCTCGGCGCCGCGGCGACCTCGGCGCTTCGAGGCTCGGAGCTCCGAGGCTCGAGGTCGCTTCTGGACCTGCCCGGGGCCCTCGGGGGCCTCCCGAGGCTCGGGGGCGCACCCCTGCCCCTCCGGGGCGCGCCTGGCGCCGGGCCTGTGGCAGCCGTGGTCCTGCTCCCGTGGGCCCTCCCCCAGTGGCAGCCCGTGGAAGCTCGGGCCGAATGGGGAAATGCGTCAGATCGGTTCACATCGGCACGGAGTCGGAACCGAATCGGAGCGGTCGCGCCAAGATGCACAACAGCACCATGCAACCATCGGGCCGCATCGGAACGACGGAATCTGCATCGAATCGGATCGGGCCGGCCAGAATCGATGTCGGATCGGACGATCAGCTCGAAACAGGCCCTGTTCCCACGAGGTCCCCTGTTTGCAGAAAGTGGACACATCAAGTAAGGCTGCGTGCCAAGCAAACAAACAGAAAAAACGGGGCATCCGGACGGACGCGAAGGCAGTCAGGGGTGTCATCGCATCTGGCAGCCTGGCGAAGAGGCGGAAACAACGCCGGGGCAAGGGCACGCGGAGGGAGGAGGGGTGGAACAGATCTGAACATACAGCATGTATATATTCATATGACAAAGTGTGCATAGAAGATGCCCGTTGATGCTTTTGGCATTCGCGCCTAAGTTCGAGAGCCCAAACCTTCGGCCAAGACGGCTGATTCCCTGCTGGTGTGCACCCCACCTCCCGAGCCGTTCACCATTTCCTTTCGAGCTCTGGCTCTCAGCAGAGGCTTGCGTGCCCCGCAGGACCTCCTGCGCGGCTGACGGTGAGGGGCCGGATTGCGGGCCGCGAGCACCGTTCCACAGATCTTGCCCCAGGGACACAGTTCCCCACCTACAGACCTCCTGAAGAACAACTCCACATATCGTTTCAGCAGACCCCCCCGCCCGTCCAAACTTGGCTCTTGGTGGGGCCGCTGCTTCACTGGTGGCTTCGATTCAACTTTGGGCGAGGGAGGGGGCGGCGCTGTTGCGGGCAGATGGCCCCTATGACCACGCCGTCCCATGAAGACTCCGATGCGAGCCCGAAGTGTTCCCTGAACCATACGGACGCCTTCATCAAGTTTCTCTCCAGGAGTGTGGCAGATCGGGATCTATGCTGCTCCCTTCGGGTCTCGCGGGGCCTACCCCCACCCTGGGAGAGTGGGCTGGCGGGGCCGAGATACGACGGCCCCGTGGGGAGGGGAATCGGTCAGCAGCGCAGCTGGTGCAGTGACAGCGGCAGCAGATCGGCGCAGTGGCGGGGCCGCTGCTGGACATCGGCTCGGAGCTCGGCGCGGGCACGGCGGGGCGGTACTGGCCGCGCTCTGGCGCACGGCGACCTGCCGACAGCCTCCTGCTGACCAAGACGTGAGAGAGCCCGTGGGCCGCAGCGATGCGCATCGGCCGAGCTTCGAGTAGCAGCCCGATGCGCTCGCCAGTGGAGGACGAGGACGAGCCATGCCCATGCCATGAGCAAAGAAGATCAGCACCAGCCTACACTTTCGGAGCTCGGCGCGGGTTTCAGAGATCGGCGCTGAGCCCCCCTCCCTGGCGCGCTGAGCGCGCCAGGGGCGGGGCCGGAGGCGCTGCCAGGGGGTCCAGCGCCGATCCAAGAACTCTGCGCGGAGCTTCGAAAGTTCATGCTCACAGCCATCCTTCTACCATACAGCCGAACATGTGATCAAGAAACGCATCATTTAAGAAGCGTGGGCCAGGGCCAGCCTCCCAGGAGCTTCTCCAGACAAACCTGGGCCAATTTTCGCGTTAGCGATATGGGACGAACATGCTCAAGAACTTGGGCCAGCTTTCCGGCAAGTCAGTCAAGACACGCTGGCCAAGCTTTTCGGGAGGAGGTTCTTAATCAGATATTCGACTGTAAGAAAGGTGAAGTAATGATCGAGGGCGCTTCCCTGACCACGACTCCCCGACCTAGATCTGAGGAACGTCCTGAAAACCAGACTCCTCCTCTTGAACCTGAAGTAGTCCCTACTGGCGCTTTCGAAACAAAAACGCCCATCCAATACATCCATGGGGAAGTGAGAGAGAGAGGGGTAGGGAAAGAGAGAGAGAGAGAGAGAGGGAAAAAGACGTCACCACCAGTGCCCCCGATCTCCAATTTCCCTTTCACGCCCAAGCCGCAGCCAGCAGAAATGGGCATTTGTCTCGAAACGGCTCGCAGCCCCCTGGATCGAAGGCCCCGCGCCTCTCCATTTGGGTCTGGTGGGGGGCTCTGCCCCGCTTCGGTACCACTTCTGGATGGGCGCTCGCTTCGCACACCGCGGTGCTTCAGCGCCTTTCCTGCGTGCCCTCTTCTTCGGCTTTGGACTGCGCACGTCGAGGCGGCGCGGGGACTCCTGGAGCGCGCGACGGTCGCCGAGCGGGCGCCCACTGAGGCCGCTGGCGTCAGCTGCTCCACCTGGCCGCCAGCCGGGGCGGGCGCGGTCCCCTCCTCCCCCGTGCGGGGAAACTTGGTGGTGGGGGCTCGCGGCAGGGACGCATTTAAGACGAAGCCAGGACGAGGATCAAAACTCGGGTGAGGATAGGTCGAGAATCTCCGAGATCCGGCGGCTCTGGAGGATGTCTCGGGCGCCGCCGTCTTCTCAGAGCGCTCCGGACCGCTCTGAGAGCGTTCCGGAACGCTCTGGAACGGATTCATCCTCGTCCCAGCCCCGTCCGAGCATTTGCCCCTGGACCCCCAAGCTGAGCTTTTTGAGCGTCGCCCCAAGGGCACACGGAGGGGCTGGCTTGCGACAACGGCTGCGGACGGGCCGAAAAGGCAAGGACGGCCAGGGTACCCTTGGGGAGTCGCTTGTCCTCAGCATGCGTGTGCCGAGCTGAGGCCAGTTCAGGGTCGGTCCCCAGGTCTCCTCTGAGGGCATGTGGGACAGGGAGGGAGGGAGAGGGGGGAGAAGCAAGGATGATTTGGGAGGTGGAGGACGAGGGGGAGGAGCAGACTGCGTGGAGCGTGGAGGATGCGACGCCCTGGATTTTCTGTTCCTCGACCTTCGGCCTCCCATGAGGTTTTTTTTTCCGGTCCCAGGGAGCCATCAACAAACGATCCCGGATGAAGAATGGGCGCCGATCACGCAGACCGTAGCGCGTTGACACGGCGCTCAACACGTGCATTGAAAACGTAGATCTGGCGCGACACGTTCGCCACAACGTGGGCAAACACAAGCTGAATCAAAACGCAGCGTGCTTGACCCGGACGTTTCGAACACGGTACGTGTTACGTTTCGACAAGGGCGTATCAGGGCAGCCACGGTCGTGCGAGCTATAGGGCCCACGGGTGGAACAGAAGTCACGACCCCTGCGGCCTCTGGACACCCCCGCTATAGGGCTGGCTCCAGCCCCCGCGGGGTCGGACTTTTTTCTCGGACGGTCCCGGGCGGGGGCAGAGGCACAGATTGTGCAGGAAAAGCGCCCGGCGTGATTTTCTCGCCACGCCTGGAGGCCCGGGCCGCCGAAGTCTACCCGAAAGTGCCCGGCCCCTCCTGGGGAGAGCTCCGACCAGGAGGTCGGTGCGGGTCCAGCGGCGGCGGCGAGGGCACCCCCAGGAGGCCGAAGAAAATTTCAAAACCTCTCCTCGTCGTCGTCGTCGCCATCCTCCAAAATTAGTTCGTCGCCGTTGGCCAACTGGCCGCCGGGGGATGGCTCCGATCAGAAAGACGGCGATATCCTGTACCTCGCCTGGTGCTGGGTCACCGGGCCAGTCCTGGCAAAGGGCCTGCCGGAGGCTCCTTCCTTACCTTCCGCTTGGGGTCCCGCTCCTCCTCGTCGTCGCCGTCGCCGACAGAGGACCGAGGTCTGAGAAATGAAAGACGGGCGCCCGATAGGCTCTTCAATCAGGCGGGGGCATGCTTAGACCAAGAACCGCTCTCAGTCCTCGCAGCTAGACAACATGTGGAGATGGGTGATCGTAACTTGAAGAAGATGTCAAGATCAACCCAATTTCGAAACCGAACCGGCCTGCGTGTTACGCGGTCCCTGACATCTTATTATTATTCCTTTCCCCTCTTCTTCCTTCCTCTTATTTTTGTTATTCCTCTTCTCCTTCATTCTCAACCTCTGCATCATATTGCATCGAATCTGACTTTCCAGAGCACGCCAGATAATCAGGCTAGCCCTGCATGCCCGGCGCATGGTTGACGAGCTTGGTCAAGGCCTAGTGTGGCGAACGGTGGAGTCTCACATGAGGTTCTGCTTAAATGATCAGGCCTGTGAACTCGCGAATCGTGGTGCGAATGGACTCGTCTGTGACCTCTCAGAGGTACGGAGGTGGGCAAGCTTAGCGATCTGATCATGGCCAGCGAGGTCAGGCAGCCCCGGACTGTATCCACACACGCAAACATCTCTTAACTGCATGCCTTGGAATCCGAGAAAGTCTCAGATATGGCACCATTTCGAGACGGAAGCGGCCTTCACTCGAGCAGCTATTGCACACGTTCATGCTCACTCCCTTTTTGGCAAAGCCCAATGACTTCTTACGCGATGCCCTTTTTCAGAATGGACCCGCACTGCATCCTTCTAGCTGTAAGTGATGTTGAAACCACCGTGTGCGGCACCAAGACAACAACTGCGTGTTGCAGACGACCCGCCCTCCACCCGTGCAGCTCCTGGGAACCGGACAAAACGAGCGCGCCCGGCCTGTTGGAAGCTTCAGGCTGCGGGGGCATTAGCTGCGAGGAAGTCTCGAGCGACTTGCGTGCCCCGCCCGACGCACACGTCTGGTGGTCTGGCGAAGAGGGCAACCTATCTGCAAGGAAGTACCTCCGTAGGCCTGTCAGGGCCCTTGGATTCCCAGAACTCCTTGCGGGCCCCCGGAGGCCTTCCGGGAGTCCTGGGCCGAGCACCGTCTCCCTCTCGAGGGAGGAGCAAGCTCGATGATCCTCAGAGCGTGTCTCAGCGACAGGTCGTGCTTGTCCTCCGAAGCCCCTCAATACAGCGCAGGCAGTGCAGCGAGGGCCGGCACAGGCTGAGCGGGGTGAACATACATGGGGACAACACACTTATATTTCGTCTGGAGCTGAAGCTGAAGCTGGGGGCCCTAAAGGCGAGGAAAAAAAAGGGGGGGGGAGGGAGCCCACTCTTCCAAACCCGCGGAGGGGCCACGAGGGGGTCCAGGGGCCCGGCAGGCCGACAGGCTCCGCAACACACTTTTTTCGTCGGCGGCTGGGCAAGGGGTCGTCTGCGCCGGCGGATGAGGCTAACAGAACGGGGGCACCGTGGTAACGAATTGGCCACCGTGCAAGAGGGGGGGGGGGGAAGGCGGAAAAGCGGGCGGCCGCGGTGCGGGGGGAAAACATCACACGGGGACACGCGCACGTCCTGATGATCATCGACAGGCAACGGCAGCAGCGTGCGACCAGCGGTCGCCGCGCACCCGGCGCAACGAGCCGGACCCCGGCCGCCGCCTCGAAGATGTCGAAGTTCCAGCTCGGCATCCGAAATGCCAGCTCCTCCCGGCCGAGCCCGCGCCAGGTCGGAGGAATGAACACGAAGAGGTCTTTGGCGAGGAGGAGGAGTCCATTGTATGATTACCTTGGCCTTTGGCTCGTCTTGGGCCTCTGGAGGCCTTTCACGACGAGGAGGAAGAGGAAGAGGAGAAAGAGGAGGAGGAGGAGGAGGAGGAGGAGCTGAGCTGAGCATCCCGAGGGCCTCTCTACTGATCGGGCGGGTCTGTTTGTTTCGGTGTGTGTGTGTGGGTGTGTGTGTGTGAGTGCATTCGTGGGGGATCCTCTAGTAGGACAAGGAAGAAGGTGAACTATGAGTAGTTCGGATGAAGAGCAGGAGGTAGGACGAGAAGGATGTTCTTGAGGAGAAGGAGGAGCCAAGAAGGAGGATGAGGATGAGCAGGAAGATGAGGAGGATGAGGTGGAGGAAAAGAGAGAGAGAGAGAGAGCGAGAGGAAGTGAGAGTGCGGACGTAAGGAACGTTCAATTTGGTTGTGGGGGAGTCTAGGGTAGGGTTCTGGGCGTTGCAGGGAGGAGGAGGGGCAGGGGTTTGTGGGTTGGGGAGGCGGATGATGATGATGATGATGCTGATGATGGTGGTGGTGGTGGTGGTGAGATGATGCTGATGTTGATGATGATGATGATGAGGACGTTTATGGCATTGTTGATGAGGGTGGTGGTGATGCTGCTGATGATGATGATGATGATCAGGATGATCATGACGATGATGGCGAGGATGACGATGACGATGATGGTGGTGATGATGGTGACGATGACTATGGTGATGATGATGCTGATGATGATGGTGGCGATACTGACGATGCTGCTGAGGATGCCGATGCTGAGGATGATGATGATTCTGACGATTATGGTGATGATGATTGTGATGGGGATGGTGGCGATAATGATGATGGCGATGCTGACGATGCCGATGACCATGCCGATGCCAATGACGAGGACGATGATGATGCTGATGATGATCAACATCATGTTGATGATGATGACGCTGATGGTGGTGATAGTGTTGATGACTATGATGCTGACGATGCTGATGAGGATGCTGATGATGGTGATGATGCTTATGAGTCAGAGTGAGAAGGGCCGAACGGTCATTCTCTGTCCCTGTGTGCGCGTGGCTGAAAGAGGAGGCGGTGCGCGGGAGGGCGCGCGGGGAGGGCGCGCCGGGAGGGCGCGCCGGGAGGGCGCGCCGGGAGGGCGCGCCGGGAGGGCGCGCGGGGAGGGCGCGCCGGGAGGGCGCGCCGGGAGGGCGCGCGGGGAGGGCGCGCCGGGAGGGCGCGTCGGGAGGGCGCGCCGGGGGAGCGCGCGTGGAGGTCGCCTCCCGCCTTTCTTCCGTAGCCGTCTCGGCCCGAGCATGGCACCGAAGGCGCGCGCGAAACCCAAAGTCCAGCGCCTCGTGCGCCATGGCGCCCCGCGCGCGCCCAGTGGCTCCCAGTCTGGCTTGCGAGCTGCCACCGCTGCGCGTCGCGAGGTTCATCATGACGGAACGGGGGCCTCAAGGAAAAATGTCCCCCATTTTTATCGCCGCTTTCGCCCTCCAGGGCTTCCCCGCGCGCCCTCGGGGTTTCAAAAAACGACCTTGGGAGATTTTGGGGTGCAGGACCCGTTTCCTTGAGGACCTGTTTCGTTCATGCTCTGAGGCTCTCTTGGCACGGCCAGGTGCTTGGCACGAGTGCCCAAACTGCACGGCTGCCGTGCGCGTGGCTGCCGACGTCGCGCCGACCAGTTGCATTTCTTGCCCGGTGCGCTCTGTGCGGGTGAACGCTGGCGTTCCGGTGGCGTGCGACTTCAAAACCAAAGCCCGGGCTTGGCGACTGCGTGCTGTTGTTCCAGACGACCGCGCGCAAGCGCGCACTTCGGCGGTCCGGGAGTGCATCGTCGAGTTCGAGACCAAGCACTTGGCGGGCCAGCAGATCCCAGGGGGCTTCTGGACTGCCGTGCGTGGAGAGGCGCGCCGGCGCGTTCCCCTCGTTGGGCCGTTGCCCGAACCGGCCGCTGCAGCCCAGCCCTTGCCTTGAAAAAGTCGCCGAAGTCGATTCCGCCACTCCCCCATGTTCATTTCCACCCTCTCCTTCCGGTCCCTCCTCACTCTTATCCGCAATTGCGGGGTGCTACGTATGAGAATGATGCTGCTGCTGATGATGATACTGACGGTGGTGGTAGTTGAGGTGGTGGTGGTGATGATGCTGCTGATGATGACGATGATGATTATGATGATGATGCTGGTGATGATGATGACGAGGATGGTATGGAGGAAGAGGAGGAGGGACCAGGAAACGAGCGTTTTATTGAGGAGTCCGCACAGGAGGTAGGATGATAACGAGGAGGAGTATGAGTGAGGAAATATGGCAAGGCAGGCTTAAGACGGTTCTGTAAGGCGCCAATTACATTTTCTACGTGCGCCTGGATGCGCTTGCGGGCATCAAGCCTCGACGTCGGCGGCGCTCTCAGGGGCGAGTGTCGAGCAACGCGAGGGTCGCGGGTGTCTACAAGCCGAGCTGGCCTGGCCCACTTCCCACTGCGCGCGGGCCCCTGCACTTGTCGGGGGCAGGAGTTGGGCGCCGGGAGGGGCGTGGGGGAGAGACCGTAGATGGACAAGAAAGTGGAACACTTGGCTCCGCTCCCCCTTCTCCCCCTCTTCAAAGTTGGCCCTGGGCATTCGGGAGCACAGGCTCGAAAGGACAAACAAGTGGAACCCCCGGGGCCTCCAGCAGGCTGGACGCCACCTTTGAGTCTGGGGGGACGGGGGGGGGGAGCGAACACGGGGTCGAAAACGAAGGGGTTCCAATTTTTATCCCTTTACTGGAGGGAGGGCGGGGAACGGGGCAGGGCGCGGGAGGAGGGGGCTGGGAGCGCATGCGGGAAAGGAGTGCAGGGTGGGGGCGATACGACAAGATCGTGCCGTGACTGCCCCGCGTGGATCGCTCAGCCTTGAAGGGTCGGCGGCTGTTCTTGAGCATGGACCGACCGTCCTGGCATTATAGGCCTACCACGAAATATTTTCAGGATCAACGAACGTTGCAATAACAAATAATTTTGTAGAAACAAAGATATTATTATATCATAAAGCCGATGTATTACACGACGACAGTGACAGCCAGACATGCTCTGAGAGCATGTCTTGCAAATGACACCAGGTTCTTAAACATTAGTTGGTGGGCCTTTGGGCAGGCCAGGACGCTTCACCACTGCTTGATTTTCGATCGCCCATATTGGCCGATTCTGGGGCACCAGCGGCGCTCCAGCTTGAAACGCCCGCGGCAGGGCCGCTGCCGCGTCGGCACGGCACGGCACGGTAACCTTTTGTAGGGGAGGGTCGAGGGGATGCCTTGAACGCCCTGGCAATTCTGGACCCTCTATGGCCTCCTGTGGGACCCGGCGCCTTCAAAGAAGATTAAGACGAAGCCAGGACGAGGATAACATCGAGTGAGGATAGATCGAGAATCTCTGAGAACCGACGGCTCTGGAGGATGTCTCGGGCGCCGCAGAGCGTTCCAAAACTCTCCGAGAGCGTCCCGGAACGCTCTGGAACGGATTTATCCTCGTCCTGGCCCCGCCCGTTTCTGGATCCTCTATGGCCTCCTGCAGGGCCCGGCGCCGTCAAAGATGATGCCGTTTCGAGATCACCGGCGGGAACTCTCGAAATCCCACCGTCGTGCAAACTTTCTTGGTCCGTTCCGTGAATGCCCCACAGGGGGATGCGAGGGTACAGCCGGGACTGATGGTAGAGGACACCCGAGAGGACACGAGTATCGGCCGAGGGAAACCCTTGCTCCAGACACGAAGGGTACATGACACGCGATAGACAGGCAACATGAAGGGGAACGGTGCAGGGGACTGGCCAAGGGGGGGAAACGTTTCCTTGGAATCGACGATCCATCGGCGACAGGTCCTCGATAGCAAAGCCGCACGCTCCTGCGACAGTGGGGCACCCGGGCCCCGATCGGAGACGAACGGGCGATTCGGGATCGATGCCTCCCCCCCTCCCCCTGGAGGCCCGCCCCTCCCCCTCGTAGACCATCCGAGCACCAGATGCCTCCGCACCTCTGCTCCTGCCGGGGCCGCCCTGCCAGTCCGATCCGACCCGTGCCTGGGCGGCGCGCCGAGGGAGGAGGAGAGCGAGGGGGGCGGCCCTCCTCGGGGCGCAAAGGGGGTCTGCTCAGAAGCCCTCCTCCGGCCCTCTGGGAAGCCGCCTGCGTCTTCGGGGAGGGCCTGGGCAGCTTCTCGAGAGGCCTGAGGCCTTCGGAGCCTTCGTGCAAGGCCCGCTCCCCGTGCCCTCCGCCCACCCCGGGCGCGGCGCCGAGAGCAGTAGGGGTCGGGGTCGGCCCACCGGTGGTCCTTCAGCCTCGCGGAATCGCCCCGGGGGTCGCTGTTGCAGACCGACTCGGACCCGCAGCCGGCCTCACCGGTTTTTGTCATGCTCGCCGTGTGCGCGATCGCGACCTCTGCGGACTCCTCGGGAAGGGGGGGAGGGCGAGGAGGATACAAAAGGGGGGAGGGGAGGAGGCAGAGAAGGGAGGAGGAAGAACGACGCGGGAGCCAGGAGGGAGGGAAGAGGAGGAGGGAGAGAAGGGATGAGGTGTAGAGGGAGGAGGAGGCGAAGGAGGGAGGAGGCGGAGGAGGGAGGAGGCACAGCGTTCTGAATGGGTCTATCCTAAGGTAAGCGCGCGGGCAATATAGAGCAACACACATCCCTCCTCGCGTCGCGGACCAACTCAAGTAGGTTGGCTTTTTTTCTCAGGCAGTGCCCGCACTCAAATTCTCGTTCACGCACCTGTGATCTTGCACGACCGGATGGGTTCTCCAGGTTTTCGCCGGTGCCCGCTGGTGGGCGCCTCGTGTTGGGAAGGTCCCCTAAATTGTTGCCCGGACCCTGCGTGTGGGCGCCTCGTGGCCGGCCGGTGCCCTCCCGTGGGCGCCTCGTGGGCGGGTCGTGCTGCCTACCGCACGGCTTACACCGCACGGCCTGCACCGCGTAGCTTGCACCACACGGCTGGCACCACATAGGCGACAGCACGCAGCCTGCACCACACAGCCGGCACCGCACAGCTTGCGCCACGTGCCCTGCACCGCAGAAGCCGCACAGAATCTTACACTACGTAGCCGACACCGCATATCCTGCACCACATGCGCATCGAGACTGCAAGAACCTGCCGCTTGGGGCCCACGCTGGCAAGCATGCCAGCTTTCGAAACAGAGCGAGAGACATGCGCGCGCGGGCGAGGCAATAGCCTTTGGATGCTCGATATACTCATACTAAGAAGGCGACAGGCAGGGATCACTTGGGTGCTGGCTGCGATATCGACGACAAATAAGCTACACCCTCGAAGAACAAAATTATCAAACTCACGTCTGCATACGCCGTGTAACTTTAATATGATTGTATGTGCACCGCAGATCGGAGGGATGGACCGATAATGAAGTAGACTGGAAAGTGACAGACGCTCCATCATTATATATGTAACAAACTTTGAAACTGAATGTGTGCGGCGCTTAAGCAAGAACGCCAGCTTGAAAACGACTTGTGCTCCATACTTGTGAGTGTTGCAAACTGTCGAACATGAATGTGCGCGGCGGAAAACGACCTGCGCCCCATCATTGCAAATGTTGCGAGCTTGTAGGACGAATGTTCGCCGCGCGAAGGCGAATAGCCGAATTTGAAAACGACCTGTGCTCCGTCCTTGTAAGACGAAGCTGCGCGGCGCTACTTCGATTGCTCCAGTCTGAAAACGACACCCCTAAACATGTGTAACTGTTGCACATGCCAAGCCGACGCCTCTTGGGGCGCGACAGGCAGAAGCCATAATAAGGAACAGGGATGGAGGAGGGAACAAGGGAGGAGGGATGTGCAACGAGTTTAAAACAGGGAGGTGCGTGCCAGCTGCAAATTGAAATTTCTGAGGGCCCAGAGCAAATGCTGCGCATGTGCTGACCACAGCGCGGCACGACAGCGCCATAGCATCTTTCAATCCTTCACTCTATTAGGCCCTCGTGTGGCTAGAGTCGTGGGGGTGGCTGATGGTTAGGCCCCTCCTTCGGCGCCAGTGCCTCGATCCGTCGAGATGTCAGAAAACATCTGTCCCCTCATTCGACGAGCAACATTATCGTATACCTGGGCCGGACTGTTGCTTCGTTTTCAAAGCGAGCAACAGAAAGCAAAAGTCAGGTGTTTGTGCGCAATCACTGTCAAGGCATCGCGCTGGGGGTGAGCGAGAGCAAGGTATGCCGCTTCTGGATGTCTTGGTTATCTTTTCTCTACTCTCTACTTCCTGCTTTCTCCGCTCGATCCCCTTCCCGATATAATTCATTCTCTGCTATTCACTCCCCTCTCTATACCTTCCCCGGCTTTGGTCAAATCCTGCTCAGGACCCGGAATCCGTTAACCGGGACGCATAAAACTGAACCGCCCGCCGAAATCGGAGGCACACCCCAGGAGCACAGGAAACTGTCCGCCCTCCCAAATCGGCCAGAAACTTTCGCCAAACTTGTCAGCTCCAGCGAGAACTCCTTCAATGCAAACAATGACTGGGGAGAAACCGCTAGGCCGAACTGTTGGAAGCTAAGGGTCTGCCTGCCGCCCGCACATCGGCCTCTTCACTTTCTGCCCCGCCCAGTCCTCACGAGGGGAGTGCTCGAGTTTCGGCTGCTTGCCGCGGCTGGGATCATGAAAGCCCTGCGCGGGGGATTGCAGAAGACACCGAAGGCAACGAACCACGACGACCACGACGATGGCGATGACGCTGACGAGAATCAGGACAAGTGGCAGAGGTGCCCAGGATCACGTAAGCGGGCCGGGCAGGGAAGGTTTGGAAAGGGTCTTGGGGTCAGAGGATGTGGGGAGGACATGGGGGTCTGAAGATAGGGAGGAGGATGGCATCGGGGGGGGGGCGGTTAGCGAGGGAGGGGGATGAAAAACAACGGATCCAACCGAATTGCAAGAGAACACATAGAAAGGCCGAACACGTCCCAAAGCCTCGATGCTCGATCCAACTATCCAAACCTCGGCGATGACGCCTACGACTTCTACGACTACGACGTTCGGCCTCCCCAACTCCCCATGACGTCATGCCCCCTTGAATGCTTCTCCTCCTACCCCTCCTCCCTCAAATGTCTGATCCCTCTCCTCCTTCCTCCCTCTTCCCTCCTCCCTCCACCGTCCCCCTCGTCCTCCTGCTCCTCCTCCTCCTCCTCCTCCTTCCTCCTCCTCCTCCTCCTCCTCCTCCTCTTCCTCCTCCTCCTCCTCCTCCTCCTCCTCCTCCTCCTCCTCCTCCTCCTCCCCCTCCTCCCTCCTCCCTCCTCCCCCTCCTCCCTCCTCCCTCCTCTCCCCTCCCTACTCAAGGGGTGCTAGGGGTCCTGCAGGGGGTCTCGACGAGTGCTGAGATTCCCGCAGGGGTTTCCTGGCGCTTCTGTGGGGGGTTGTGGTGGGTCGTCCTTCGGGAGCTGACTTGGTAAACATCTTTCGGCAGCCAGCCCGTGGGACCATGCTGGGGCGATCCCTCCTCCTCCTCCTCCTCCTCCTCCTCCTCCTCCTCCTCCTCCTCCTCCTCCTCTAGAGTATGCTGCAGCGCCTGGGCGTGGCAAGGATTAAGCTCCCCCATTCCTCAGAGCATGCTCATCCCGACCCTCCCAACGAGCAGGTGTGGCCCTAACCGATGGCCATCAGTGCACAGGGCCTATGCCATTATGCCCTGAACTCGAGTTGGGCCAATGTAGTGATGCCCGTCGAGCTGGATTGCCATCTCTGCGAGCTGAAACTCTGCTGAGGATAAAGAAAAGACAATGTCCTCGTCGAGAATTAGTAACCACCTCCACCGCATCCCTCAAACCTACTCCAGCCCCTCATCCCCCAGTCGAAGCAGCTTGTGGTCGCCCTCACTGATGGTGTTGTGGAAAATTCTTGAGCTGCGCGCAGCTGGCGGCTTGTGGCCGGGCAGTGCCTTCACCGAGGGTTCCCCCCCTCCTCATTCCTCCATCGCCACCTCCATCGCGCGGCAAACAAGCAAAAATTGGCCTGCTGAAACAAACGATTGGCACTCTGATGAAAGCCACTGGGGAGGAAAGTGAAGGAGCATAAACAGAAGGGGAAGCTGGTATGGACAAGTTGGGAAGCGTCGTGCGCTTGAAGGCCCAGGGCAGGTACGAATCATGATTGGAAGGTCGACGCACTCGGTATGTTACTGTCCTCCTCCTCCTCCTCAGCTCCCCACGCTTCCTCCTCCTCCTCTTCCTCCTCCTCCTCCTCCTCCTTCTCCTCTCCTTCTCCTCCTCCTCCTCCTCCTCCTCCTCCTCCTCCTCCTCCTCCTCCTCCTTTCCTTCTCCATATAGATAACTCCACCCTGTCGCATCCCGAGGCAAGTTTTTAGGGCGGGCCGGGCGTTTTGCCTGAGACTTCCTCACCACTTATGACTCTGAAGCTTAAGCAGTGATAACAATTTCACAGATGAAGGGCGGGTCGCTTTCAAAATGTGGCTCTCGCCTCAGCGCCGCGCGCATTCGTCTTACACATTTGCAGGGGCTTCACGGGTTGAGGGAGGTTCCTTTTCAAAATGTGGCTCTCGCCGTACCGCCGTGCACACTCGTCTTAAAAGTTTGCAAGAGCTTCACGGATTGAGGGCGGGCCGTTTTCAAAATGTGGCTCTCGCCTTACCACCGCGCACATTCGTCTTAAACAACTGCAGCGGTTTCACGGATTGAAGGCGTGCCGTTTTCAAAATGTGGCTCTCGCCTTATCGCCGCGTACATTCGTTTTAAACATTCGCAAGAGTTTCACGGATTGAAGGCGGGTCGTTTTCAAAACATAGCTCTCGCCTTATCGCCGCGCACGTTCGTCTTAAAGCAGTGCAAGAGTTTCACGAATTGAGGGCGGTTCCTTTTCAAAATATGGCTCTCGCCTTGGCGCCGCACACATCCGTCTTTAAAATTCGCAAGGGGTTCACAGGTTCCCATGATCAGCGCACCAGAAATGGTGTGTTGTAGGGATTCAGGACTATGCGGGCGCAACAGTTATGTTGATTCGCTGTGCTGAAGTCCCCCAAACGGCGTTCTGGCACGATTCTGGATCGTCAAGACGCAGCAGTCAGGTTGATACGTGGCGTTGAAATCCCGAGAAAAATGTTTTGGCACGTTTCAGGGTCTTCAAACTGTTCTTCCAACGAGGCAGTTCCCTCAATGGCAATGAGCCGCTGTAGGGCCCTATGAAGAGGGAGCTTGGAGGGAGGGTTAATTCCAACATCGTTGATGACTCTTGGGTTTCCACTGGTCCTCCTCCTCCTCCTCCTCCTCCTCCTCGTCCTCCTCCTCCTCGCGCCAGCCTGCACTTGGGAGGTCTGTGCACTACACTGCGTGCGCCGAGAGTGGCGGCCTAAGCATGGGAGGCTGGCGGCCTAAACTTCGGAGATTGGTGGTTTAAACTTTAGAAGTTGGCTGTCTGATCTTCCTGCTGTGTCCTTACTCCCTCCTAATTCTCCACCGCATCCACTCCTCGTGGCGTCGACTTACACTGCGAAGGTATGCGCACGATTCTGTGTGGTGAGGAGTTACGTATTGGAGACTGGCGGCCTAACCTTCAGAAGTTGGCAGCCTGAATCCTCAAAGTATGATTGTTGAAAGGGCCGATGTAAAGGTGCCCTCGGGTATGTCATGAGCCTGAATGCAGCGACGGACTCACCCATGAGTCCGTCCAGCTACTCCACCACTACAACCTCTCCACCTCCCCAGCTCCTCCAAACGTCTGCCTCACACTTAGGAAGTAAGCGCACTGCACTGCGTGCTCAAAGAGCTAAATATTAGAAACTGGCGGCCTCAACTTGCGAGATTGGCTGCCGGAACTTGGAATACATGTTGGCGGCGTGATATCTTTTCCAACACACCCGGGCTTACAAAAAAACAGGACGGGCCAAGAGAGCCCCAATATGCTCCCAAGACGGTCCAAGAAGGCCCCGAATCGCCTTCACGGCCTCCAGACTGTCCAAAAGGCCTGCAAGACGCCCCAAGAGGCCTCCAGAAGAACTCCTAAAAAGGCTCAAGATGAAACATTATATCGCTCCCCCGTTGGTTTTTGAAGCATTTCGGCGTTGTCGCCTCTTCCGCTTTCCAACGCTCCAAGATGACCCAAGAGGCCCCCAAGATCGCCCCAAGAGGCCTCAAGGAGGCACCCAAACTGGCTTCAGAGAACTCCAAGACGGCCCAAGACGCTTCCAAGATGGCCCAAGAGGTTCCCAAGAGGTCCCCAAGACGACTCCAAGAGAATGCCCGAACGAGGGACCAGAACGGACATTTCGAGCCCTCGGCCCCGAGAAACTCCCAGGAAGAACCAAGAGACCTCCAAGAGGCCCGCAATAGACCCTAGGAGGCCCCCAACGGAGCCCCAGGAAGCCCCGGGACGCCACCAAAAGCCTCCCAAGATGACCTTAAACTGCCCCCCAGAGGCCCCCAATAGCGCTTCGACAAGACCCCTCAGAAGCATCTCTGAGGACTCTCACCCACGTCAACATCCTCGTCGTCGGCAGCCCAACCGTGCATACACAATAACGTGATTGTCCTGATTGTTTGACAGATTTGGGCGTTCTCGCCTTTTCCGTCTCCCACCGCTCCACGACGGCCGAAGAGGCCCTCAATATCGCCCCAAGACGGCCCTAGAGGCTTCCGAGAGCGCTCCAAAACATGCCAAGAGAAGCCGAAGACAGCCCAAACCGCCTCCAAGACGGCCCAAGAGGCCCCCAAGACAGCTCCAAGAGCGTGCCTTGACGGAGAACCCGAACTGACATTTCGAGCCCTCGGCCCTGAGAAGCTCCCAGTAGGGCACCCCAAGAGGTTCTCAAGAGGCCCCAAGAAGCCCACAATATGCCCCCAGGACACCCAAAAAGGACCCCAAGAGGCCCCCAAGAGGCTCCCAAGAGACCCCAAGATCCCCCCCAGAGGCCCCCGAGAGCCTTCCCAAGAGACCCCAAGAAGCATCCCTGAGAACTCGGGCCCACGTCAGAGTCGTCGTCGTGGTCGCCGCCGAAATCGCCGCCGTCGTCGGCGACGTCCCCCTCCAAGGTCGGTGGCACTGGCCGTAAGGCCTTCGCAATGAATATTGGCGGTGCGACATCCTCTCCAACACATTCCAAATTTGATAATGATAATGGCATGCGAGCGGCACTGGGGAGGCGGACTCGGGGAAACCGTAACAAAAACGTGGAGGGCCAGACGAAAAGGAAACACGTGCACCGCATCTTTGCGGCCAGATTCTCGTCTCCACACCACCCCTCGAAAACCTCCACCTCCACCTCCGCCTCCAGCTCAAAGTGGCCCTGGTGGTCTAAACGTGGCCCTGCTGACCGAAACGACGGCGTTGCACCCAGCAAAGCGATGCGTTCCGATGGAGCCTGCCGCGCAAAAGAGCACCACCCTCCACCCGCCACCCGCATATGAGAGGGGGGGGAGGGGGGGGAAGAGATGAGGGAAAAGGACTTCATGAGCGATGCCTGGTGGAGGCACATGCGGAGACGAAGCAGGCCCAGAAGCTAAGCGTCTGCGGATTCGTGCCAGATTTGTAGCGTTCGCCCGGCTCGTGTCGCGTGGTCTTCCTTCTGTCTCTTCGAGTTTTACGTTCTCACCTCTTCTCCCTCTTGTCGCCTGCCACATGTTCTGCTTTTCGGCGCGCTCTGACGTGTAGGTGTGTCCTCCTCCTCCTCCTTCGCCTCCTCCTCCTCCTCCCTCGTCCCTTCGCCCTCTTCTCCTCCTCCTCCTCCTCCTCATCATCATCCTCCGCCTCATCGTCCTCCTTCCCCTCGCCTCCTCCTCCCTCCTCCCTCCTTCCTCCTTTCTCAAGCCTCCTCCCTCCTGCCTCCTCCTCCTCCTCCTCCTCCTCCTCCTCCTCATCCTCCTCATCCTCCTTCCTCCCTTCTCCCCTTTTCTCCTTTTCCCTCTCCTCCCACTCCCTCCTTCTCCCTCCTCCTCTCTTCTCTCTCCTTCTCCTCCTCCGCCTCCTCCTCCTCATCCTGCTCCTCCCCCTCCTCCTCCTCCTCCTCCTCCTCCTCCTCCTCCTCCTCCTCCTCCTCCTCCCCGTGCCAATGACCCCCCAGACTTCTTGGTTCTCGATGTGGTCGGGGACGCACGGGGCAGCCAGCCATCGTCATGCACATCGCTCTACCAATTGCCTAAAGGGTCGGGGACTAAGGACCACTGCATAGCAAGTTCAAGTTAGCCCCCGACCCGCTGATTCGACTGCATCAGCTTGTCAGACGTCGTATGCGCAGCCAACGTCATGCACATCGCTCTAGCCGCCTGCCGCTGCACCTCCCAGCGCGTGCTTGTGAGTTGCCCGTGCTGTTTTTCCTCCCCGACTCCGTCCCTCCTCCGGCCTACCAGCACTATGTGAAACACGATCGATAATAACGAAGCAACATTTGTTAACACGATTTGTCCTTGTTTCGCACGCACACGCAGAGAGTCGAATCGACACGATAGCTTTGCACCGGAATCTCGAGCATTCTCTTCCACCCTCTCTCCTCCCTGCCCTCTTGCCGATCCCGCCCGGGGTCCGAGTAGTAGTAGAAGCCGCAGCAAGAGAGGGATACAATTTCCCCAGTTTCGTATCATCCAGGATCGGCGCCTCGTGATCCCGAGGGGGGGCATGATTTGTCCGCCCGCTCTGGGTGTCACGGAATACCCTTGGGGTAGAAGCCGTAGCAAGAGAGGGATAACATCTCCCCACTTTCGTATCATCCAAGTTCGGTGCCTCGTGATCCCGAGGGGGGGGCATGATTTGTCCGCCCGCTCTGGGTGTCACGGAATACCCCTGGGGTCCGGGTAGCAATAGGCAGCGGTAGACAGCACATGCTAGGCTAACAATCCCACTACGTGGGGCAGCAGCTACGGCATCAACAATCCCACTGAGTGGGATAGCAGCTTTGTGCGATACGCAGCAACATGCCTAGACAATTGTATACCCTATATCCGAGCGTGGCTGGGGCGAATTCCATTCCCCAGCCACGCCATAGGGGGTTAGAGGAGGGTGGAGTCCGAGCGCGGGCTGGGGCAAATGCCATTCCCCAGCCAGCCCAAAGGGGTACAGAAAGGTGACCCCTCATGCTGGGGAGTTGGTCCCCCTTACCTCGCGCGTTGACCCTTCACGCTGGGGATTGCACCTCTCATGCGTTGACCCCTCATACTGGGGACTGTACCCCTCATGAGTCGCGCTGTCGTGCTCGCATCTCGCCCGTCATGATGTCGGGCTTTCCCAACGGGTGGCTCTCGGCCGTGCCTGGAGAGAACACCGGTGAGTTGGGCAGCTTACTGGTGCACTGAGGATGTTTTGGCCGTACCTGGAGCTCAAGTTCAGCGACAGGGAGGCGCGCGGACTCATAAGGGGTCCGATTGATCCCCTGAGGGGAACCGCTGGGCAGTGCACGGCTACAGATTCAGTATGTGTGCGGACCACTGCGGAGGCAAGTTCGCTTCCCCGACTTGGGATGCCACCCTGTACGAGCCCAGATTTGACCAGACCACCAAAGGGCATAGGGTGAGGAGGGGGCGGTGGACAGAGAAGGCGATAGAGAGGTGGAGCATCGACCGGTGCTCCTCACTAAAAACCTCAATATCATTGCTGTCTTCCGCCCCCCGCTTTAGGCCGCGTGGCAGGTTTCTCGCATCGGTCAGACCCCGCTCCCCTAGGGGCTGAGGTGTGTGAGCCCGACCCACGGCCTAAGGGTACATCCGTGACAATCCTCCCCCTCCTCCTCCTCCTCCTCGTCCTCCTCCGTCCTCCCTTCTCCCCTTTTTCCTCCTCCCCCTCCTCCCCCTCCCTCCTCCTCCCTCCTCCTCTCTCCTCCTCCTCCTCCTCCTCCTCCTCCTCCTCCTCCTCCTCCTCCTCCTCGTCTTCCTCCTGCTCTTTTTCCTCCTCCTCCTCCTTCTTTTCCTCCTCCTCCTTTTCCTCCTCCTTCATCCCTCCTTCGCCTCGGCGGCGACGTCGGCCACGACGACAACGACGATGCCCGGGGGCGCCTCGTCCGCAGATGAAGACGAAGAGCTGCTCGGGGAGCGCGCGTCGGGCCTGGCCGCGCCGAAAAGGGGGCGTTGCGCGGCATCCCTCACTGCACCGCGAGCTTCGGAAGAGGAGGAGGAGGAGGAAAATAAAGGAATAATCGAAGGAGTGCACGAATGATTCACTCGTGGACTCCCGTCCTGACCTCTGCCTGGCTGCCGGGCCACTGAAAGCTGACAAGCGTCGAGAGAGCCAGGACTCTGAATCGGGTTGCCTGTGCGCCCCCCTGTACCACGGCAAGACTGGCCAGCGCGCCCCGCCCGAGCGGCACAGGCTGGCCGGCACCCCTCTGAGGGCGGGGCACGCAGCCCTAAGAGGGGCAGGCTCCACAAGCACGGGGGGCCCAGCTCCCGCCACGCCCCGCCCTGCCTCCACCACCCCACCGCCGTCTCCCTCTCCCTCCTCCTCCTCCTCCTCCTCCTCCTCCTCCTCCTCCTCCTCCTCCTCCTCCTCCTCCTCCTCCTCCTCCTCCTCCTCCGCCTCCTCCTCCTCCGCCTCCTCCTCCTCCTCCTCCTCCTCCTCCGCAACCCGACGTAGGCTTCGCACGAGGGGGCAGATACACCATCGGCGCGAGGGGCCGTGGGCCAGGGAGGGGAGCTGCGGCATGCGTAGTTGTCCGAGAAGTGGGCTTCAGGACCTCAAGGGAAACCACTCCACGAGGAACTAGATCCTGAAGGCCCGCACTGTGTGCGAAGGCTTCCCGAGCCTCGGTGGCCCTGGAAGGCTACCAGAAAGCATGGCCGAAGAGCCCCGACAGGGGGCTCACGAGGCGGGAGGCTTACACCTGTACTGATACTATCTCCACGCTGGCTGCTGATACCTACATCTTGTTCCTGGATCCCCCCATGTCGCCGGTTTCCCTTCCCAGGGGCCCTTTCGGAGCCGCCCCCGACAAGAGCGACCCCCCCCCACCCCTCGAACTCCAACAACTTTTCCATGTGCCAAGAGGGAGCGCTGCCCACCGACGTATCCCCGTGGAACGCCATCGAGAAGATGGCCTTCGGAGAGTCGCCGTTCGCCTCCATTGGCACCGGGCAGCGGAAGCGCGGGACGGCCCGACCTATCTTCGTCGCCGAAAGGCCTGGCTTCATGATCGCCGCTATGTAGAAGTCCTTCATCGAGTCTCGGAACTTGCTCTGATCTGGACTATCACTTTCGCCCAACTGCGTGCCCGCGCCGTGCAGGATGGCCGCCGGCGCGATGCGGGCGCCGGGGTGGGCCACGCTCTTAGTAGTTCGCGTCCCCGCCTTCGCGAGAAGCCTTTTTTAACAAAAAAAATATCCGGGCTCGTCTCGTTGCAGGCCACTCCCGCTGACTTGCTCGCCGCCGTCGCTCCTATAGTCGCATCTGGCATCTCGTATCGGAAGTAGACCGCGCTCTTCAGGTCCGCGACCTCCCGCGCGATCGCCATGGCAAGCCCGGCGCTGGCGACGCCGAGCTTGTCGCCGTTGCCTGCGCCAGCGCCCCCGCGTTCCTTGTCGGCATTCTCCCCGTTGTGCTCCTAGTCGGCGTCCGCGTCGTCTGCCTCCGCGTCCCTCTTGGCCCCGCCACCGCTGAACCGCGAGGGCGGCGCCGCGGGCGTCTCCATGGCTGCGCCCCCCCCCCCCCCCGCCGTCGCCCATCGCCAAACGGACGGGCCGCCCAAGCAGCCCGCGGGCCCCCCCTGAGGCGGTTCACGAAGTTGCGACGCGCCTCGAAGCAAGCGTCGCACATCTCGTTTCAATTTTCTCCCCGGGGGGGCCAGCGCTTCCACTGGGGCATGCTCGGGGGGAAGGATGTTGACGGCGTGCTGCCTCGATGCGAAAGCTGAGGCATCCGCGAGAGCAAAAATGGGGGCGGTCGCATCATCCGCGATGGATGGATGGGTGGATACCCACAAGCGGGCAGAGCCCGGCCCTGCGCAGGGCGAGGGCGGTTGGCACCGCGGTGCCTCAGATGTTCGGATTCGCGAACTTGTCTTCGAGAGAGTTTCAGAGCGGGAAATTGCCGGCGTAAGCAATTCAGTTCCCATCTTGCACATCACGCCCTTCAGCCCGCAGGAAGCTGGCGAATTCGCCCCCCCATCGTTTCCGAGGTCTTCCGGGCATTCTGCCTGTGGCGCGGTGGTCGTTCTGAGGCTGCCAAGCGGCTGCCTTCGCTGCCCATCTGCCCGCAGGCGCATTGGCCACTCTTGCCGCGCGCTTCCAGATTCTGCGTCGCAGGGTGGCCCCCCCCCCAACTCTCGATGCCCAGCTTGTCCATGTGATCCTCGATGCGGCGAGTGACCCGCTTGATCCAATCGACCCAGGGCTCTAGATCGGCATCAGAGGATGAACATTTATGAGAATCGTCGTCCTCTGCGCTGCTGTCTTCTTCTGCTTCGGGGCCGGGTCCTCGCCCCCGCCCCCGCGCGCGCGCGCAGCGACGCGAATAACCAAAAAGCAGACATAGCATGCGCCGTTGAATCGTCTGCAGCTTATGATTGAGCTCCGATGTCAAAATCCAAGTTCAAGCCCCATGCAACACGGATGGGGGTTACAACGGCTTCGAACAAGCGCAAACGCGATTTCAGTGAGTAGTGCTGGTTGGTCAGTTCTGCCTTGTTCAGCGTGAACGCCTTCCATCCCCGACGAATCCTGTGATCTATTTCTGCCGCGTCTGCACCGTCGAATCCAATCGTGCGCCCCGAATACCTCGCCGGCGTCTGCGCAAAAAAACTCAATCAAATCGCCATTGATATTGAGGTGCGCGCGCCTGCCTCGTCCGCTTCCTTTCGTCGCATTCGTGAAGATCTTCGTCTTGTCCGGGTGGGGCTTCAGGCCGGCGGCAGCCGCGACCTCGCGCGCGCTGGAGAGCAGCCGAGAGATCTGTTGCGAACTCTTACTAAATAACAGAATATCGTCCGCGAGCCGAAGATTCGTGAGCAGGGAGAAGTCCGCGCACCCAAATTGAAGCCCATATTGCCGATTAGCCCATGCCGTCTTCGCATGCCTCGTGATGTCCGCAGACAGAGCATTGAAAATTAGCGAGCTGAAGGGGGTCGCCCTGCTTCGTTCCTCGCGTATTACTACACCACCTGCTTGATGCATCTGTTCCCACCTGCCCCTGCTGGCCGGAATGCAGCTTCATGAGCAATCTCGCATAAGTGATCGGCACGCCCTGCCTGGCTAGCGCGTGCCAGAGTGCCAGGTGTTCAACAGTAACAAAAGCTTTCTGAAAGTCAAGGGCGGCACTCCATAGTGGAATTCGGTGCTCCTCGCAAGACACTTGAATCAATCCAAATGTAAATAGATGGTCCTCTGTCCCAAATGTGCCCCCGAAGCCTGCCTGGTCACAACTTCGGTTTGCGCCCAGTGCAGGAAACAAGCAGTTGTAGTGAAGCCGGGAGAACGCTTTATATAGAATTGGGACGATTATAATCGGCCGATAATTTCCAGCCAAACGTTCGTCGCCAGACTTATGCGTGACCTTAATCACAGCCTGCTTCCGCGTAGATGGCGGCAGCGCATCTGGCTTGAGCCAGTCATTGTACAAGCGCGTTAATACTTTCAATGATGCTTCCCCGCCTTTCGCAAGCATCTCCCCGACGTTGCCTTGGCTATCCGCGCAGCGTTTCCTCTTTAGCTGCTTCAGTGCTGTTTTGACTTCCTCTGCTGAGAAGCCTGGCGCAGAGCAGGCGTGCTCCGCGTCTGCCAAAAGAAGGTCTGGTTCAACGACACATTTTGAGCCATTAAGATCTTCATAGACATTGGCAAATACGTTGCCAACGCCACTTCGAGACGCGACGACGCTGTCCCCGTCCGACGTGCACGGTGCCATGCGACGCGCCGCGTGAGACTTTATTTTCTGCGTGTGCTTCGCGCCCGCGAACTTCTCCATGATGGTGCTGATGCGTCTGCTGGCTTCGGCCTTTCTCGTCGCTCTGACAGCTTTCCGGATGCACTTGCTTAGCTGGGCTCGCTGTGCCAACCCTTGCAAAGGCGTGGTTTTGCGGCCTTCGATGAGCTCTTCCAGACGCCTGCGCAACCATGCATCTCAGCGCTCCGATTTTGATGTCGATCGGCATGGATGGCGTTCTGCTCGGCCGCTCGTTTCAAAATCTGTTCTATGTGAACTGCCCGTTCAGGGGTTTCCTCCTCGAGCGTCTTGTTTTTCATCTCTTTAGCACTGGCGTTGCGGGGAGCGCCTGTTGACACTGTATTCCACGGGGCCCTCGCGACGGCATCCTCGGCGGCATCGTGGCCCCAGGATTCCCCCTGGGGTATGATATTGCGAGCAGCCATGTTGGCGGCGGCATGGCCAGACCCAAGATCGAGATAATCATGGGAAACGCTATCTTTCACGCGCTTCCAGAACTTCCTGTCAACCAACAGGAAATCGACCTGTCTGCAATGACCTTTCGCAGTGGCATGCGTTTTCCGTTTCTCCGGAGGCTTGGGAAAGAACGCGTTGCAGATGACAAGCTGCTCCAAAGCCGCCCGCTGCTTCATTCGCTGGCCCCGGGAGTTCTCGTTGTTTAGGCCGCGCGCGCCGATGGCGTTCGGGTCGTCCATCTGGAGCCTGCCCCCTGCAAGGGCCTCTCGCTCACCGCCGCGCTGCCCGGCGCGCGATTGGCCCGCCGCTTGCGCAGCAGCGCGCCCACTCCGCGCCGGCGCATAGCGCAGCCGGCCCCCATTCAAAGACATCCATCTTCCGTCGCGCAATATTCGCGCGATTCGACGCGCAAAGTTTCACTCAATACCACAGCGCCCCGCTCCATCTGCTGTAGCTCCGCCGAAAGCTCGGCCAACCTCTCGTCGCCAATCAATCCAAGGGCGTTCCCGGCAAATGCGAACGCAACCGTCGGCCTCTTCTGCGACCGCGCCGTCGGTGGAGATTGGCCGCGCGCGCCCCTGCAGCGACGCCCCCGGGAAGTCCCCAGGAACGTTTTCCGCGCTTCCCGCGCCCCCCCCCTATGCTGACACGCGGTTTACCTTGTGGGCGCTGTCCTTCATGAGGTGCGCGCTTTTGATCTAGAGCGCATGGTCGCT